ATCAATTGATGTGAAGTCCACTGAAGAGGAATGCTATCCGAAGGACTCGATGGACAGATTCGGTGATGATTTATGCGAAGAGATATTGAGTTATCTGTCACTCGAAGACTGCTTCCGATTTGAATGTCTGTCCAAACAGTGGCAGCGATTGGTGTATAAAAGTCAACACAATCTCAATGTTAACAAAGTATTGCTGAAGAATAAGGGATATCACGAGGTATTGACCGCTAAAGACATGAATTTGGATGCGTTGGACCTATTGGTGAAGAAGTCACCAAACATTACATCCATTGAGATGACTGTCAACTCGAAAGTCATGGAAAGAGTGTTTGAAAAGCTGTTGAATGCATACAACGACTCATTGACTGCAATACACATCCGATTCAGTCGTTGCACTAATCTATTGATTGCGTAAATATGGCCACCGATTGACTGCCATAACGATATCGAACTCGGGATCAGCTGGTGATGCCCTCAGACCACACTTCAAGTGATGCACTAAACTCACAAAACTGTCGGCTATTGGTGTGGCAAACGGTGTCTCCCATTTGGATTTGGATCTACTTTTCAATGATGATAACCACCTTCTGGTGAAAGGGTTGACTCACTTTGCGTTGAGTACTTCATATAGCGATGAATTGCCACTTTTGACATCATTTGTCGATCACTACAGACATAGTCTGACGTCTATTAAAGTAGTCTTTGAGCGGAACTTCGGCTCTAAACTGATTGGTGTGTTGAAGGAGTTGTCACGACTTCACAATTTGCGGGATTTGAATGTTTTCATCAAAGGAGGGGTCAGTAAATCGCTATTCAAGTCAGTCGTCGATTGCGTGCAACTGTTGGGCACTGAATGCAAGCTCTTAAAGAAGTTGTATTTCGGGATTTTGTATACAAATGAGACAGAAATGAGACAAATATACGGATCAATGGATCGGTTCACACGATTGCGAAGTTTGAGTCTGTATTTCGGGAATGTCGGCGAAGAACCAGAATCTGATGAAAGTGTTGCCGACTCTGAGGAGAATGAGCCCAAAGAGACTTTCATTGATATAAGACTACAACCATTGACTCCATTGAAGCGATTGACACATTTGGCGCTTCACTTTCAGAACTTTGTCTTAGAGGAGGCATTCTTCGACTCCATTGACACACTTCTGCCACGAATTCAGTCATTCGAAGGGAGCAGTCGTTTGAAGATAACGACGAGAATTGAAGAGTCGATCAAAAAGTTGCCAAAACTTAGATTTTTGGATTTCGTGAGGACTGATCCGAATGGCTGTGAATACGAGAGCGATGACAGCGATATTCATAGCGTACACGACGGCACCGGTAGTGACTCGGACAGTGTGGTCGAGTTATCTGATTAGATAAACACACGAATTGATTCATAAGACATTTAATTCATTAGTATTATGACAGTTATTATTTTTATTTTCGCAATCATTATGAAATATTACATTTATTTTATTACTGTATTAAATTTTACTGTAATTAGCACCTAGCACACCATTTTTTAATAATCGGCTTATCATCAAAATAACTATTATTGTTAACATAGATTTTCATTTTAAATTGTACCGTATTTTGTTGAATTGAATAATTTTATTCAAAATAAAATTGACTTATAAATAAAATGACTGATATTAATACTAAATTACCATAAATTGTAAAGTTTCTGTAAAACTTCAAAATAATTTGTGTAGTTTTGGCGACAAATCAACACTTTTTGACACTCTTTTGGGTTTTGGTTTCACTTTTCATTCACTTTTGGGTTTCATTTATTCAAAGAAGTCGTTCATAATTATTACCACAGAATGGATAACAAGGTTTGAAATGAAATAACAGCTGCAATAAAATACTAATCATTTGTATTGATAGCTAAGTGTAAATTCGTATAAGCTTAATATACTTATATAATTCACGATTTATTTTTTATATAAAACTTAAAATTACAAAAGATTCAATTCATAATTATTATTATTTTATGTTTTATCTTATGCCTACCAGTGCTTTTGTACCAGTGCTAAATACAGTTGTTTCGTACTATATTAATTGCATTTAGTACTAATTTAAGTTTTATAAAAATTATATTAAAACCATTAAATATCAATACTTATTCTATGATTTTTAAATAACTCAATACTTTAATTTTTAAAAATATATTGATTTTTCACGACAACTGTGTAAATATTGATATTAATATGTATATATACAAATACTGAAATAATATTCTTTCATAAAAATATATTGATTTTAAATGTATTAAATTGAATAATAATTGATATTGATTTACATTTTCTGTTTAAATAAAACATAAGAAAAAATCAATTTCTAAGAATATACTCTATTAATATAAACTATCTATCAGTTTGTATTGAAACTATAAAATTTATAGTTATAGTTATATTTATTCTTATACTTAATATAGGTTAATGTATCACTAAATAACAATTTAATATTGATATAACTGTATAGTGTAGTTAACTTCTTGGAAAAACTAATTTTATTGTTTGTATTTATGTTTTATATTGAATTTAATGTTTTAATCTGAATTTTGTTTATAACACACATGTTATACCGTTATACATGTTATACTATGTTATGTGTTATAGCATATAACTTATATAACTTATATGACACACACATACTGTATGGGCAACAAACATATTCTGTGAATTCTTATGTTACATGAAATTGTGATACAAAATGAGTTTTTCAGACCGTCTATACGTTTGGTATAAATTTCTAATTACATTGAATGGGGAATACATAACAAACTTGTTGCGATTCTGTACCCCATTTGGACCAAAAAGGTTCACGAATTTACCCGAAACTATGAGGGGACAGGTAGTGGTGATAACCGGCGCCAACACCGGTATCGGTAAAGTGAACGCCACTCTATTCGCACGACTAGGCGCTAAAGTAATGTATTATTTTTGTTATCATTATAATAGTACTGTATTCATATTTGTAGCTTATTTGACAGTAAATTAGGAGTTAGTATTAAAACAGTTAAACAGAATTGTGAGATTTTAAACATAAATAGTGTATAAATAACACTAAATATGACAATAATTTAATATAAGAATTTTAAACTTCTAAGAAAATGTTGATTAATAATTTTTTAAATACAATAAATTAATTTTAATCAAAAATATGTTTAATAAATATGTTATGTCTGTGTCTGTGATGGACAGGTAGTGATGGGCTGTCGTGATATGGCTAAGGCTCACATCGCGGCCGAAGATATCCGTAGACTTGTGACCGATGCGGACGTGGAGGTCTTGAAACTGGATTTGTCTTCATTAGGATCTGTGCGACAGTTCGCCAAAGAGTGTGGAGAACGGGTGCAACACATCTCACTTCTCGTGAATAACGCGGGTCTTATGTTTTGCCCGAATTGGAGGACTGAAGACGGCTTTGAGATGCAGTTCGGGACCAATCATTTGGGTCTATCTTTCATATATCTATGATATCAATGTTCCCGTAATTTAACTCCCGTTCCCTCTAACTATAGGTCACTTTCTATTAACTCTGCTTTTAATGGATAAACTTAAGTCAGCGCCAAAGGCCCGGATCATAAACGTGTCGTCCATCGCCCACATGACCGGAGAGATCAACTTCGACGACATTAACTCCAATCAGAGTTATAACAAATACCGGGCTTACTATCAGAGCAAACTGGCCAACGTATTGTTCACTCGCGAGCTGGCCAGTAGGCTGACCGGCACACAAGTTACTGCCTATAGCCTACATCCAGGCCTTGTGGACACTGGGCTCTGGAAATATATGTCCGGATGCCTAAAGTTATTGAACATAATGTTTAAAAGTATTACAAACATTGAGCCTGAATTAGGGGCTCAGACCACACATTACTGCGCTCTCGAGCCATCCATAGCCAATGAATCGGGATTTTATTATAAGTTTGTGTTTATTTGAGTTGTAAAACATGTAATACTGTATTGAAATAATTGTGTATTTAATT